CCACCAACAGTGTAGGAGGGTGCCCGTTTCTCCACATCCTCGCCAGCATCTCGAGTTCTCTGATTTGCTCATTTTAGCCACTCTGACTGGCGTGAGGTGGTATCTCAGTGTGGTTTTGATTTGTATTTCCCTGATGAGGAGGGATGCTGAGCATCGTTTCATGTGTCTGTTGGCCATCTGGATGTTAGGAGGCAATTTTTACTTGAGTTTTAATTAGCAAAGACATTTATGCATATTTTTAGTTTTGACCAAAATGAAAACTAGTGCTGACCCTTATTCATGTTTTTCTATTGCTAATGGTCTATAGATTTTAATTGAGCCCCAGAGTCTGAGGTTTTTTGTTTGCTTGTTTGTTTCAGATGAAAGTTTGTGGGATCCCATTTTTCTTTGATTCAGTGAAGTTGTGAAACTTTAAGAAACAGCAATGGCTCATTAGTTATGGGATCACCTGAATATTTCCCTGCTAACGCCTCCTATCAAGTAGGATTTGCTTTGACTAGAAGCACTGTCCTAGGGAAGGCCATTCCCAAATCCAGCTGAGTAATCAAACTGTTGAGTACACTGGGGGCTGACATCTCCAGGTGGACTCTGGCATTTCATATTCTCGTCTGCTACTTGAGTTTTGAGACAGCATCCCATGACCCCTGTTTCCTGACAGGGATTAGGGAAATGGTCACCTAACTGCACACGGTAGAATTTAGGCTTAGCTTTGGAGGTAGGGCAACAGGAGAAAGTGTACTTCAGTGTAATTCCATCCTGCTAATCAGTTTGGGTCCTAGAGCAATCAGCAGCCACAGGGCCACCACACCTGAACGTAGCTTTCCCATTTCAGCTACATTGATCTCTTGCCTGTTAATCTACTCTACGAAACCTCCTTTTCCTTCTCTTATTATTTCCTATATGTGGGAAAAGCCCATCATGCTTCAAGAAACTGTGCTCATTGCTGATTCCTTGGCCTACATTTCCTCTCTCATCTAAACCATTACTAGTATAGGGAGCCCATCTTTTCTGCCTCTCCACAGCTCCTGCCCAAGTTCTTATCTTCCCACTTTAGAGAACAGGCCCAGGTCTTTATTGTTTGCCTGCCTCTATACCTGTTCCCTACATCTGAAATGTAGCCTTATACTTCTAAACATGAGAACTCTTTTCTTCTTTACCTGGTTAATCTTCAGTTCTTCGTCCAGCAGTTGAGGTCTTCCCAGAAACCATCCCTGCCCACTCCCAGGCTGGGACAGGACTCATTGTCCTTCTCTGTGAACCCACAACATTCTACGTGTCATGCTGGATCTTTATTGTTGGTTACTTATCTGTCTTTGTCCCTCAGCTACTCACACAGGATCTGGCCCATGTATCATCAAAATGATACACGATGGGTTGGACTGACTTGTTCTCCTCTCTGTCTTTGCCACCTCCAGCCTTCCCCTTGATTTTCAGCTCCCATTTTGTTTTGTTTTGTTTTGACTACTTTATATCCACAGCTTCCTTCAAAACATGTCTTTTATAACACCTCTTTGGTAATATCCTTCTCCTACTTTCATTCCTAACATTTATTCTTTATTCCTTTTGTCCTTATGGGAATGTGTGCAATAAGTTTAAAATTACAACAAATCCAACAAAAGTTATATGTGAGCATAATAGTTACTTTCCATAAAACAGTCACCTTGGGGTGCCTGGGTGGCTCAGTTGGGTAAGCGGCCAACTTCAGCTCAGCTCAGGTCATGATCTCACAATTCGAGCCCCACCTCAGGCTCTGTGCTGACAGCTCAGGGCCTACTTCGGATTCTGGGTCTCCCTCTCTCTCTGCCCCTCCTTGTGCTGTCTCTCTGTGTCTCTCAAAAATTGCATAAGCATTGAAAAAAAAAAACAGTCACCTTGGGAAACTGCATACCTATTTTAATAATGTCATAGCCTCAGTCATTTACAGAGCTGCTCTTTGGGGATGAGTACCTTCACATTTTTCTGAATATATTTTAATAGTGACAAATCTAGTCTTTGCAGGTGATGTTTAAAATTTCTATAGAGCCAAGTCACCATGAACTATATTTAGCGAGTAGAGAATGCCCTATCTATGGGTCAACAAGAAAAAGTTGTGTTATTTTCTTTCTCTGAACATATTTGCACAAGGGAAATTCCAAAGCTATTTTGACTAATTACGTTATTTTTGAAAAGAATTTCTAGCATCCCAAGGTGACTACTTCCAATAACAGTGCTTGCAAATCTATTATAAAGGGCTTATTCAAATCCAGGCTATAATAACACTGACTTGCACTTGTTTAGTGTTGTTTTACATTCTAGTTCAACATCTATTATGTGATAGACACTGGGAATGACTTAGGCTAGGGTCTTTGCCCATAAGGACCTCTTAATTAGTTGAGAAAACAGAAATAGCAGCAGTCCTGTGTAAAAAATAGACATTGCCTTAAGATAAGGAAGCAGTACAGTGGAGAGACTGTCCGTGAGGGGTAAGAATTTGTTACAGTGTCAGCAAAGCCTTCTCAGGACTGAAGGATTAATGATGATTAGAACTTCACTAAGAGAAGGAGGGACGGGGTGACAGGAGTCCTTCCAGGCCCAGGGAACAGAAGGTACAGAGACTGAAACAAGAAGATATGTTTGGGGGACTCTCAAGTCATTCAGTACTGTTATTGTGTAAAGTTCACAATGGGGACAGACAGGATGGGAGATGAGGCCCAATGAAGTCAAGGCCTTATATTTACTGCTTGTAAAATTTTGGTGTTTATCCTGTAAGGTACAGGGAGATGCCCCGTGGGTAGGATTCTCCTTCCCAATAGGATCCTAAACTCCCCCATCCAATGAGTCACATTGTTGCACACACCCTCCCCCCCCCACTCGTGTTCCCCCCCAAGATTATCTCAGATCCATCTCTTCCTTTCTCTTCTGCCATTTGCCTCATTGGTTGCCGCCTCCATCACCCCAGGCCTGGAATGTTTCACAAATTCCTGACTAGCCCTTGGACTCCAGTTCATCTTTTGCTCCTGACAATCAACTTTGCACAGGATTATCAGAGCAACTCTTCTTTCCATCAGGTCTCACTCCTGTTCAAAAGCCATCAACGGTTTTCTATGCTCGAGGGATGACTGCTCCTCCCCCTTTTCAGCTTGTCCTTCAAGATCTTACTAATCTGGTCCCAGCTCCCTTTTCCTGCTGGACTCCTGTAAATGCAAATAGTGTCAGAACTCATCTTATTCCCTTATCTGTACCTTTACGTTTGTGGTGGCTTGTTCTCTGGGATGCTACAACCACACCAACCCTTCTGTTTGTTTTCAGCTCTTTTCTTACAGATAGTAAGCTCATGTGTTCCCATGTTTGATCACATCCCCCACTTTCCTGCTCTGGAATTAACCACCATTCTGGTTATATTCTATTCTCTCTCTCTCTCTATATATATATAAATAATATATATATAATATTCTATTACCTGTATATATAACATATAATATTCTATTATATATAATATATATTCTATCGTATATGCTATATAACATTCTATCATATATAATATATATCATTCTATTATATGTAATATATAATATTCTATCACATATTGTATTATATATAGGGTGTGGTATAGTCCATTATATGTATAGTATAGTATACTATATACTATACTTTATAATATAGTATAATATTTATAGCATATATAGTGTGGTATGCATCTATAAATAATAGATGCTATAAGTTTGAAAACCATTAAATATACATGAAAGATATACTTTATATCTCCTCTTGCACTGAGCTTTTCACTGTCATTTTATTCTTGATTTATCCCTACTAACATATATGAATATCGTCTCTTCGCTTGTACTCCTTTCCACTTTATAAATATACCATACATTATTCATCTATGGGCGGGATTTAGGTGGCTTCCAGTTTTTGGCCTTTACAATGTTACAGTGAATATCTTTAGCCAAACCTTCCCCGATTCCTGCAGGATTCTCCCCAAAAGCTGTTTGTGCATCCGTGTCTGTAGGATGGTCCCATTGTGCCGAGCACACTGCTGCGCCAAGTATGGCGGTGAGGAGGTATCTGCTGACTGACGGAATGAATGAATAAATGGTGAGGCACAACTCAGCTGGTGGCCACGTTCCATTCAATGGCCTTTGCCGCTTCAGCCCCCATTTCCTTGACAGCGCTGGTCCTTGTCTACCGCATTCCTCCAGCCAGCCGAGAGTGTGGGTGTGCGTGTGGGCGTATGGGGGCGATACCTCTCTCACCGGGGAAGGCACGTCCCTCCCAGCAAGTTCACGATCTCGGCAACCCTAGCGTCTGAAGTTCAGGGTCCTATCACCCACCTCCTGCAGCAGAGGCCCGGCCTGGGGGAGGCAGTCCAGCGACTAGTGAGTTAACGCGGGTCCAGCCCCGATACGGGTCGGGGAAGGCTGGAGGGGCCGTCGGAGGACTCGTAGTAGATCCCTCCGCGCGCAACTCGGGCCGGCGCTTCTTCCTGCGGGAAACCCCTGGGTGCCGAAGGCGGCGGGGCCCCGCCGCGGCGACAGGGGGCGGGGTTTGCGGCGGGAGGAGGCGGCCGAGGCGGAAGGACACACGAGGCTGCTTCTCTGCACAGCGAGAAAGTTTCAGCCAAACTTCGGGCGGCGGCTGAGGCGGCGGCTCCGGAGCGGCAGCCTTGGGGTGCAGGGAGTGGAGGCGTTTACGCCTGAGCTTCGGGGCGCAGCGCGAGGCTGTGAGCCGCAGAAGCAGGAGGAGGAGGGGAGAGAGTGGGGGGGACCCTCGGTGGGGACCCCCTCCCCATGTGGATCTGCGCAGGCGGCGGCGGCGGCGGAGGAGGCGACCGAGAAGATGCCCGCCCTGCTCCGCGTTCCCTTGTGGGCGCTGCTGGCGCTCTGGTTGTGCCGGGCGGCCCCCGCGCGTGGTGAGTATCGGGGCGGAGGGGTGCTGTCCTTTGCGCCGGGTCCCGCGCCCCGCCGTCGCGGCCCGGCCGGCCACCTGGGGCGACCATTCCATCCGCCCCCACCCCCCTACCCCGCCCTCCTCAGTCCTCCTCTCCGCCAGAAGGCCGGGTTCCGAGCGAGGCCACTCGGTTCCCGAAAGTTTGGACCCTGCAGGGCCCCCTTCCCCCGCGCCCCGCCGCCTCCGACGCCCCCGCGGCCCCAACACACGCCTCCTCCGCAGAAGGGGGGCCGGGCCGCGAGCCTCAGAAACTCGCTTTCCCAAGCCCTTGAGTTTGGAGACTTGGGGCTGCTTTGCTCTTTTGGTTCCGCGTTTCCTGGGGTCGGGCGAGAGCCGAGGCCGGCTGCCCGAGGCGAACCCTCGCGGGCCGCGGACCGCAGACGGGCTGAGCAAAGGAATGCCGGATTCTGGCGTGCAGGGAGCGGGGGCAGGGCCTCCGAGCCCAACGGCTTGCACCTACCTTCCCGGCCAGACCTCGCTTTGCCAGGGGGAGGCACACACAGTGCGGGTGGGCGGGTTTGGCTTGCACCGGGACGGGGCTTCGCGGCGCGCCCCCTGACCTCGGACCCTCGGAATCCGTGTTGTTTTGCTCGAGTCTTTGAAAGGTGGAGGCAGCAGCGGCAGGGAAACTGGTGTGGCCGGCTGCAGGCTGGGCCACATGATTTAAAAATCTCAACTGCTGTTATTCTTTCCGAGGCGCTGAGCTCGGGCGCTGTTTCGGAGGCTGTGTCCAGCCCCAGGAATGTGGTGTTACGATCACCGACTCCTCCAACCTGGCAGCGGCATTTGTGGCTTTTTGGGCATTGTTGGGGGTGGGGCAGGGGCGGGCGAGGAAAAGTGGATACGTTGATTCAAAGTGCTTCCTCGGAAAGCGTCTTTATGGTTGGATATTCGCAACAGTCTTTCTGAACACGGTTGGACCGAGGACGTCGAATCGCGTCTTAATCCATCCCACCCACAGTCTTAGATTCCGAATTTCTCCAGGCTGTTTGGGGGAAAGGGCTTGGGTTTTTGGAGCCCTGCTCTCTAATCCTGGGTTCAAATCCCGCTTTACTGTACGAACTCACCAGTCAAATGGGAATGAAATTACCCAGCTAATAGGATTAATTAAGAGAATGTATATTAAACCCATTTCAGTCAGAAGGTATTCAGAAAGTGCTTTCAGGGCTGGGCTGGGTTTTATTTTTTGTGAACTGTGCTTGTGCCTGTTTGTGAAACTGAGAGGGCCCTCTTTTCCTAGCCGAATCTGAAGGAAGATTTTACCTTGACCAAAAACAAAAACAAAGAAAACAAGTACGCGAACAATGTCTTTTTGCAAAGAAAAGGTTAAGAAGATGATGAGCTTCAGAAAATTTTGCTCTTTGTTCATCGTTAACAGGTAGTTGACATGCCAATCATAGATGTTTAAAAGAGAACAAGGTTATTTATCAAAGTACTGGGTTGTTCAGCGCGAACTAGATCCTTCTTGGAAAGCTCAAATTCCGTACACCTCCATGTCCCTAAGAATTTCAGAAGTGGACCAGGAGGCTGTGTGATAACAAAACAGGATGGCATTCTTGCCTTTCATTGTTCTTTGAGCGAAAGCTTTACTCTAAGTGTAGATTTAGGATAAAACGGATTATAAGCAGTGGGCTAGTCTGAGGATTACAAGCCTTGGTTTATGCCATTAACTTGAGTTAGCAAGTAACTTCATCTTCATTATCTGTAGTCTCCTCACCTATGAAAAGAACTAAATAATCTCCTTTAGAGAGCTGGAGGGAATAATAAATATGACCGCAAAGAGATTTGTAAAATTAAGTCTTAAATGAAAAGACTGATGTCAAAAATAGGATGACTTTGACACACAGGGCTTCTCTCATTCTAGCGACCCAGTCCCTAGGCTGATATCCTCTTTTATTCTTCTGTACTGATGAGGTCTTGTCATTACCAGCTACCTTTTAGGTGGACAAGTTGAGTGTTAGTTCGAAGGACTAGATGTGGATATTTTGATTTTTAGACAGGTGTACTTCAGCTGCTAAACTACAATAAATGAGATTATAAAACCTGTTTTTGGGTACAAATCTTAAATCTTTTCAGAGTCTAGCAGTGAAGGTTTCTTGAATCTTTTAAATCTATTATCATGGCTTTTTTTTGGGGGGCGGTCAAGTTGTGTTATACCAGTTATAACTCACTCTTCCAAATTTTTGAGTGGTCCTGTATTTGGGATTGTGGCCAATCGTTAATTTAAATGTCACTGAGTTCCTAAGGCAAGAGAAGCTGTCAACCCATCTGCCTGATTGTTTAAATCCCTATCCAAGACCACCTCTTACTCCTTTTCTTTTGCTTTGCAGTGGGAAGTGAGTCCCTGGTTTTGGTGCCTGCTAGGTGGTTTCTCAGCTGAATTCTTCTCTTTAATAAAAATCACAAAGAGTAATTTTTTTTCTTTCAGATGATGATGAAGTTTATCCTAAAAGTATTTTCCTTTTCTCTTTCTTCTTTCTTCTTGTTCTTTCTATATTATTATTCTTTTTTGGTGGGGGGGGAGGAGGAAGAGGGAAGGAGAGTGATCATTTCTGCTCTTTCTTTTCTTTTTCTGATGTTTTGATTTTCAAAAATACCCACATCTCCTTGGCATCCCTCTGTGGTATTCCCATTCTAGTGTGTCTCTTCTGTAGGCTTCCTGTGGTATAGAGAAGTAACTTTTGGTTTACCTGAATTGTATTTGCTGACTTCAGAACTTTTAGAAAAATGTTTAAATTCAGTGGGATATGCTTGGATGCTTCAGAGCAGCCTTACAATACATTTTAAAAATATCACGCCCACAGAAATTCTATTTTGCCCACAAAATTTGCATCGATCTAGTTCCCACTCTGATGCCATTCCTAGTGGTGGCTCTCCTTACCCTGTCCACTGTGATAGAAGAAGAAGGTCCAACTGGCTCCACGTCAAGGTCAACTGGGGGGACTCTTAGCATCAACACCCAGGGATTATGATGCAGTAACTCTGAGAATCTGTAGTTTTCAAGGTTTATAGTAACTTGTTGGAACCCACTGATGGCTTATTATTCTGCTTTCAAGTGTGTGTGTGTATGTGTGTGTGTGTGTGTGTCTTCCCTTCTTATTTTTAATAATTTCCAAAGTTAATCTAACTTTAGCCATTCTAGTGTTTAACCTTCTGACTGTCAAAGATTTTTAAAATTGCTCACATAAGAGCTATAGAGGATAATAACCATTTCTTTTTGTTCGTCTGGACACAGTGGGTCTCCACTGTCCCTTTAGAAGGGCTTCATATATTTGAATGATACAGTATGAATCCTCTCTCCCACCTTTTTCTTCTCTGTTGTTTTTTATTTCTCAAGCTTCATTCGTATATATATATATACATATATAATTTTGGACCCCCATTATTTGTCCTTAGTGGTTTTAAGGTAAAAACTTCTAAGGCATGATCTTAATGCAAATGTAATAGGAGATTTTACATTATCCTCATGTTGTGTTTCCACTCGTTATTTAAGGGCTTTCTTTCTTGATATCTCTTATCTGGGTGCCAAAACCTGGACCTTTCATTTCCCTCCCACTTTTTTCTGATTCTCCTTCTCCTCTCGTCTTCCCTTTCTCTGCCAATGACTTGAACCAGAAGGTTTCATTTTCTTCCACTCTTCCTTTTTTATCGGCCTACCCTATGGATAATATGTTGGAAGGCTCCCTGGACTAGGAGCCGGAAGACCACGTCTGTATTTAATTAGCCTTGTGGTCTCGTGGGAGGGATTTTGGTCCTCCATTTGCTCAGGTACCTGTTGTCCATAGTCACAGAGTTGTGAGTAGAATTTCTCTCTTCTGGTCCTCAGTCCAGTGTCTCCTCCACTCTCCACACCATTTTTCTCTTTTGTACAAATGAGCTCATATACACGAAAACACTTGGAACATTCTCAAGTGCTTCTGGGTAGTGTGTAAATCTTGAGGAAGAGAATCGGGTCTTTTCATTTTTGCGTTTTTCTAATATTCCTATCCTGTACTTGGCATCAATAAATATTTGTTCAGTTGAACAATTACTTTTAGTCATTTTCATCTTCTGAACTACTATGGTACTCCAAGACAGTTATTATTTTTCAAAATAGTATTTGCAGGGGTCATTGCTTACCTTATGGGGAAAAACCAAAATTTCCCCTTTCCCAGATGTTTTATTTAAACTTGCTGTTTTGAATTTGTGTGTGTGTATGTGTGTGGTTTCTTCTCTCTTTTTTTTTTTTCTGATCACTTCTGCAAATCATTTTTTTTAAACATTTTTAATGTTTTTATTTCTGAGAGAGAGAGAGAGAGAGAGCGTGAGCAGGGGAGGCTCAGAGAGAGAGGGAGACACAGAATCAGAAGCAGGCTCCAGGCTCTGAGCTGGCTGTCAGCACAGAGCCCGATGCGGGGCTTGAACCCAGGAACCGTGAGATCATGACCTGAGCTGAAGTCAGACGCTTAACGGGCTGAGCCACCCAGGTGTCCTGCAAATCATTTTTTTAAAAAATGTTTGTTTATTTTTGAGAGAGAGCGAGAGAGAGCGTGGGCATACTTGAGTGAGTGGGGGAGGGGCAGAGAGAGAGAAGGAGACAGAATCCAAAGCAGGCTCCAGGCTAGGCTTTGAGCTGTCAGCACAGGGCCCTTGCGGGGCTCGAACCCACAAGCCATGAGATCATGACCTGAGCTGAAGTCAGAAGCTTAGCAGACTGAGCCCCCCAGGCGTCCCAGATCACTTCTGCAAATCATAAAGGTCACTTTGACTTTGGAATTTAACCTCAAGGGTGCTGACCTCTACCCCCTGCCTCTCACTTGAGCTTCTCCTGTTTCTTGTATTACTACATTACTAAACCAGCAATTTCTATTATTTTGTTCAGAGTTGCCATATTTTATTGTAATTTTGGTCATTTGGGGGATTATTGGAATAGTGTTTTTAAAATTAGAGTTAACTAAGTTTATGTTTGTTTTGATGATTTTT